CCCCACCCCTTTGACCCTCTCACTTGCAGCTTGCTGGGGGCTGTGGCCTGGTGAGATGTCACCATCTCTGGCACCCACTTTGCATGCTTCAGGGGCGGTGCTGCAGCCGTCGGGATCCTCACTGCTGCCCCGCGTCCGCATCAGCTGCAGGGTGGAGTGTGCAGAAAGCAGCAGGTCCTGCTTCACACGCAGCAGCTCCTTTTGCTGCTGCTGCTCTTTCCCCATCTGCATCAGGTGGTGCTCGAAAAGGAGGTCTAGGTTGAAGGGCAGCAGGGAGAGAGGCTGGAGCAGGAGCAGGAGCTCCTCGAAAAGAGGCTGGCACACGCTGTGAGACAGGCACAAGAAGCCCACTGGCTGGTAGTGTGCCAGGGTGATATCTGTAAGGCAAGAGACATTAATTAGAGGAGAGGCCCTTGCCTCCTTTGCCAAGCCCCCAGGAAGCTGCTGGAGTTAGGGGGAAAGGAGTTGGACACCGGTTTTTGGTCACAGCCCTGGCTGCAATGTGAGGCTCAGCACTGGGTAAGGGAGCACCAGATGCTCCGGGCAAACTGGCCCAGGTCCTGCTTCCAGTCATGCCTGCAGCCAGGACCTGCCTGTCAGACTATCCACTAGGACAACCTCTGCCACAAAATACCATGGGAGTAGGGTGCGAATAAAGAGCATCAAAGGGTTGGCACATGTTAAAATTCTCTTCCCCACCTCCTGGAGATGAACAAGGAGCTGCACATTTGGCCACGACCAGTCCCCTGCAGAAAGAGGTATCGGGGACAGCTGAATACTGTCTTTCCAGGAACCTGGCTGGGCTGATCTGTGGATCCTAACAGAGAATGGACTAGCATTTCTACCTGCAGCATGCACCCTTCACTTCATTTGGCCACATCCACAGTGCCCCCCCCAACAGCTTTGTTGTCATGTCTCACTCCCAGGGAGAGAGTTGGCAACAGGATTTGCGGCCGTTTGGTCCCAGTAAGATAACAAACTTGCACCACAGACAGGACTTGCACCTTATCTCCAACCCCTTTGCCTAGCCTTCATCATCCTAACAGCCCTAGCTATTGCTCACACTTCCAGATCTTAATGATGGCTTGAAGCAGATGGCCCTCTTCTGCTCCAGAAAACCAGGATGCTTCTTTCTCTTGCCACACTGCTCGGTACAAAGGCAAGTCTAGTCCCCTGTCTGCACCAGAGAGACGTGCTGACAGCACACGCAGACCTGGGAAATGTCTACTGTCAGTCCCCAAACCTGCCAGAAGATACTGGGCTGGACTTCTTGCAGTGCATAGGACCCTGGGCTGGGCAACAGGCTGAGCCAGCAGCACTCTCAGGGCATCCAGCCGGTTGAGGGCGTCTGTCTCACTGTGCACTTTGCACTTAGTCATGCTGCTTCTAGGCATCAGGCAGCTTGGTTGTGCTGCTGGGTTATCTGCACGCTCTAGAAACATTTCTGATTGAAAAAAACAGATACATCCAGTAAATCTGCTTTTTGTTTGTCAGGTTTTCCTTTCCATTTCCCATGCCTGAAGGGTTTCAGCTAAGTGTGCACATCTCCAGCCGTACAAAGCTCTCAGGCACTGGGCAGGGAACACAGAAATTTGGGGAGGGTTAGATCTGGTCTCCTGCGGGTAGACTGAGGGATCTGCATTGGAGGTGACAGCCTTGAGTACTAGCTGCAGCTGGGAAGGATGTGGCTGGCCAGGCTCAGGTGGAGGGAGCTGCATGGAGCTTTGACTTCCACCTGGGAGTTCCTAGGTACACTGGGACTGTGTACAGTCTAGTCCTTCAGCTCAGAACCGAGGTGAGTAGCCTAGGCTGAGAGACCAACAAGAGAAACGCATGTCCCTCCCGTGCTCTACATTGTGCAGAATTTGGCCGCCACTGCAGCCCACAGCCTGCAGGCTCTTACCTTCATGGTTGTAGAGGTGGTTGAACCAGAACTCCAAGGACCGGATACTGCAGGAAGGGAAAACAAGCAGGGAAAGAAAGAGTGAAAATCGTTTCACCCCCTTCAGACTTGCTGTTCTACAGAAAGAAGTGTGGCTGGAAAAGGGCATTTACACAGCATGAACCTATGAACCTCAAGACCTAGTGAAAGGACACTGGCTCACTCCCATCAGCATGCACTGACCACAGCCACCCAGCCTGCCACAGAGCCATCCAGTTTGCTTTACATGAGGCATTGTGCAACCATAACCCTAACAACCATGTTTCCAGCAAGTTTCCTCACCATTTAGCTCCTATGTCCTTGGCAGAGCTTAGCTTTGCTGAGAAGGGCTCATGAGGAAGAGGCATCTACAAACGTAAGACCATTGCTGCAGGCCTGGCCCAAAATATGCTGGTATCCTGGGCCAGCAGGGGAGACTGGGCCACCGTGGGTGCGGGGAGCAGGGCAGAGCTTGCTCCTGCTTGTAGGAGTCCCCCAGCGTTTGAAGATCTTGGGGACTCTCTTGCCACTGCCAGAGCTCTTGCTGACCAGCAAAGAGACATTGCTGCCTTCTTCTGTTTAACACTGAGTATAGTCTGCACACTCCTTATCCAACCTGGAAGGGCCAGCCTTGAGTTGTGGACCAGGGCAATTTCTCCTTCAGAACCTCATGCACTGGGATTCACTGCAGCTCCAGGAAGCAGTGATTTAAACAGTGATTTCCAGGAGTAATTTATGCATATGCTATGCCTAACCCTGTATGAATCCTGACAGACAGACTCTTCCCATCTAATATTTTGGGGCTAAAACAAGCTGACAATGTTCTTCAGTGGGCTACAGCCACCCCTTCTCAGTCCTGGCCTGGCAGGGTAGGTTTTGATCCTTCTGGAGTTCCCTGAGGCTCACAGCTTCTTTCTTCCCTCACCTACAGCTGGGGAGAGGCTTCCCAGATTTCTTAAGTCTTTTCATTGGCAACTGTGCCTGCCTGCAGTCAAGGACCAGCACCTGCTGCCAGCCCTGGACATGCAGCCAGCTCAGGGAGCCTGCTTACTTGAGGAGGCCAAAGATGAATGCGTTGAACCTCATGGTGTGGTTGGTAAGCTCTGTGTACTGGCTGATCTTGCTATAGAGGCTGTGCAGCAACTTGGTAGAGGGGCCTATGGAGAGAAGCAAAATGTTGAGATTAGTTGTGGTCAGCAAAGCCAAAATGGCACCACAGGAAGGAGCATCAAGGCAAAAACAGACATTGGCTGGGTGCCCATGCCTGTATGTGCATTGCCCCTCCACCAAACACCAAGATGAGCTCACTCCATCCCAACAGTTAGACTCCACAAGGGAGATGGGTTGTGGTCTGTCCCAGACTGCCAGTCCAAAACTTTGGGAGAGTTTCAATACCGCAAGGACCTGCCTCCCATACTTCAAGGACAATCACAGCCCTTGGCTCAAAATCATCAGGTAAACAGAATATTGTGGTGGGTGGTTGTAATTTGGGGTGTCTGCAATCACGGAGATAATCCCAGAGCTGGAGATTTGCCACAAACAGGCTAGAAGCTTCCCAGCCCTGGATATAAGCCCTTCATGACGCAGAAATCGGTGTGGCCCTGCCATCCGTAACCTCAGAAAGGAGTTATCCTGGATGGTAGTGACTGCCACGATCCAAGGTGCAGACTGGTAGTAGCAGAGGGTGCAGGTGTTGTGGGCATGCTTGAGCCAAGTGAGCTGTGTGCGCAAATTTTCTTACAGACCAGGAGAGAGCACAGCTCTGCGTTATAAAGTAGCTGTGCAGGGCTAAATCAAAGATCTAGAAACACCCTGGAAACTTAGAGGGGGGAAAAGAGCATTCTTTTTGTTTTTATCTTTTTTTCATTGCTAGGACCTGTTATAGGAGAATTTGGAAATTTTGGGGGAAATGACAGCAAATATTTGCGCAGAACAGAACAGTGGCTCTCCTGTCTTGCAACAGAAGGTCAAGGCGCATCCTGTTCCATGCAGGGAGACAGGTATTATTCTGCATCCCCACCCTTATAGTCAACCTTCCACAGCACCTCCCAGCCACAACACGGGAACACCACAGAGCAATGAGCATCGCTGCACACCCTCCATACCTAGCTGGGTGGATGCCTCCACCACGCTCCAGGGGATGTTCCTCCTCTGGCCAATGATCATGTCCAGGACGTAAGCCTTGAGCCCATCACTCAGAACATCCCGGACAGCAGGGCACAGGTATTTCAGGATGAGATGACCCACGTTGGGGCTCACGGAGCTGTTCCCAAGTTTGGCCTAAGGGAGAACAGGCAACAGGGAGAGGGGTTGGTAACTGCTCTACAAGGAACAGATGCATGTGAACAGTCCAGCCTCACTTGCCTACTACAGATGCCCAGCAGGCAATGTCCAGGCTATGATGATGCTCAGCAGCTTCTTGAACAGGCAGACTCTTCCCTTTCACCCCTGCTGCCTCATACACCAGTTATGGGTTGCTCCCTGCAAGGTCTGCCCCAGGCTGGGATCAGGCCACAGCTTAGGAAGAGAAAAACCCAGCTGGGGAAAAGGATATCCCGGTCAGAAGGGATACCTTGTTCTCCCTACAGGTATAACAAGGCTGTCCTGCTGGAGGAAGAAAAGAGTAGGGGATTTTTCTGCTGCTGTAGCTTTTCTTGTTGCTATTTTTGAAGCAGGAGGCAGCAAGCCACAGAGGAACTAACAGCACCGAGGGGTTAAGGAACACTTAACTCAGTGACATGCCAAGCTATAATTCCTAGGGATTACTATAAATAAACAGGGTGAGGGCAAAATGGATGGACAGCGCTCAGGTTGAAGTGAGGAAGCACATAAGAGCCCAGCATCAGCAGAGCAGGGACATATTCTGCTGCATGTAGTCCTTGAGCTGCTGAGGGGTCCACCCAAAGGGGTCAGCCCCAGGCCTTACACGTCATGTTGGTGGTCCCAGGCAGTTGTGTTCAGGGCACAGATTTTACCAGCTGAGCTGGAATTATATTGGCCAGCTGGCATGGATCCACAAAGGCCCTGAACTGAGACTGAACTTCTGGGTCAGGAATAATCCCCCCAGATCCACTGAGCGTGGGAGCATCAGGGATGGGTGATGCCTTTTGACAGGTGAATGCTCAGCCCGTGGCACACTGATGTATAACGAAACGCCAGGTCAAAACCACAGCACTCTCTGGCAAGTAAGGTAATGGGGGAATGTTGCTATTATTCCCCAAACCAACATTGCAAGAATAAGAAATTCACAGTGAAGCCTTAAAAAGCTGTGGGAATCCCAACAGCTCTGGTTACGCTGCACAGCAATCTCTGCATCAGCAACGATTGTAATTAGGGGCAAACTACTCTGGGATCTGAGATAAGATTGAATGGGCTTGGAATCTGTCCCAGTCAGGTTTCTCCTTGGGGATGGCACTGCACAGCAGTTGTCACGTCCAAATAGTGTCACATTGCTGCCCCAGAGTCCCCTGACTGAAGCAGAGCATTCAGCTTTTGAGAGGAGGCACCACAAACATGCTGAGTGTCACAGGACTGCAAACACTGGCTGGTACAAACAGAAGCAAGATTGCTCTGCTTCTCCATTATTCCAGAAATGGGAGATGAGGGGAGCACAGGCGAAGGACAGCCAGCCCCATGGGCAACCTAGATGCACTCTGAAGCTAGTGGGTTCGTGGCAACAGCTATAGGGGAAGCCCGCCTGCCCCAGATGGGCAATGACTGATGCACTTTTTTATCATTATGGAGCACTGTGACACATCGAGGGACTGGGGACACTGCACTGTGTCCTGGCACCAGTGCCAGAACAGAATCACGGGGCGTGTGGAGGAGGGAGACACAACTCTCCACTGTATGAGAAAAAAGAGCTGGTGTACTGCATCAGACCAGAAGTCCAGCTGGCCGGGTATTCTCTCTTACAAAGAGCCATGAGTAAGTACATCAGAAAGAGTCAAACCGGAGCAAACATATATAATACTTGCCCTTAATACTCTCACAGCCAACAACTACTTTCAACTCAGAGACTATCTAAGCTGGACATTATTCCTATGTGTTTAGTAGACCTCAATGAATTTCCCTTCCCTGTGTTTTTCTGACCTTCCCTTAAATCCACGTACTCTTTTAGCACCCCCAGCATTATGCAGCAAGAATTTCACAGATTTACTATCTGCTGCATGGCATACCATCGCCTTTGTTTGGTTTGTTCTTGGTACTACTACCTTCATTGGATACTCTGTAGTTTTTGACTGGAAGAGAATAAAGAGGCAATCTTTCTCCTTCCTCTCCATGTCACGCATGATGTTGAGAAGCCATGCTGAAAGCAAGACGTACCTTCACCCCTGGATCCCTGCTGGTTCCAAAGTGAGCCACAATCAGGTCAACAGCAGTGTTGATTGCCTTCACCAGACCTAGAGGGAAAGAATGAGTCAGAGAGCTGCCTGAGGGGCTTCTAGGACAGACCCTGACCAAACACTTCATGAAGAAGCCTATGTCAGCGCGTGTGTCCTCTCTGCCAAAAACATGCAGAGTCCTCCCTAACTCCTCACCAAATCTGTCCCTGCTGGTTCCAACACTCATGTATCAGCCTGACAGCAGGACAACCTTTAGAAGTGGCTGAAGCATAAGACACCCTGTCAATGTTCCCAAGGGACATGGAACACAACCTCCGTGCACCATCCCTTGAGGGAGCAGAGATGGAGTCTGAGGCAAGGAGTGTTTTGCTGCTTTGATCCTACAGGGTGGCAGGGCAAAAGCCATGCATTTGGCAAGCTATGTAATGACCTTCAGTAACAAGCCAGTGGTGAGTAATCTGACATATTTATCAGTATGATGCAAGAAGAGAAGTGGCGTAGAGGGGAAGGCTGCTATCTGGTAATCACCAACACATAGCTGGCAAAGGCATGGGAACCTTTCTCACATCCCTTGCCTCTGACATGATACCGAGGCAGCTGTCAACAACCCGTCCTGAAGCCTGCCTCTAGCATGGATCTCATCACAGCCGTATCTTGTCCTGCTTTGGAAGCCTTTCTCCCACCCTTTTACATAAACACTTTACCATGTAGGACCCAACAGGCCTTTTACCTAAATTACAAAATCTCAGGCTAGCACATCTGCAACATGAAATGGATTCACAGGTCTGCCCTTGTATACTGAGGCAGGGGTGGCAGCCTATCCTGCCTTAGGGTCATACTCCTGTGCCTGCCTGCACTCTCTGCCCTTTCTTGCGGACACTAAGATCCTTTCTAATCATACTTCCTGGAACAAACAGCTCAAACATACTCCGTGGCACATTGCATGGTGCAGAGAACACAAGAACCTGCCATGGAAACAGCCATCAGTCCAGGGGGACACGTAGTTATGATGCTACAGTAGAGAAGGGCAGGGAAAGAAACCATTATGTCTACAGAGATGACATGAGACAGAGAGAAGCACTGTTCACCTTATGCTGTGTGATGCCATACTCTCATCCACGAGAGATGCACGGACTCACCCTTCTTCTGCAGCAAGTCGATGGAGATGGACTCTGTGTTGCCATCTGGGGAGAGGCAGAACTCAGCGGGGGGTTTCTCTGCTAGTGAGAAGTAGTCAGGGAAGAAGTCAGTGTAGGTAAGCTGGAGTTGCCTCATAGACTGTCCTGCAGGGCCAAGACAGGGGGGAGAAGGATCAGCCCCAAGCCCTCATACAAAAGCCTATCCCACATTGTTTGCTTTTCCCAGATGCAACCTGCACCAGCAGGAGTCTTCACACCAAGGCTGGGACAGCAAGGCTACAGGCCTGTTACTCTCCCAGCAATGGTTCGCAATGTGGGCCTGTACAGTTCAACCCCACAGTCAACCCAACATCTAGCTCCAGCTTGACTGGGGGCCCATGGGCACTGGAAGATGCTGTGGGGGGTTCACACTCATGGGTTGGTGCTAAGAGAAACCTCTCTGCACCAGACTCTCAGGGCAGCTGTGCAGATAGCCCCAGCAAGGGGGGGTCAAAAGTAGAGCACAGAGAGAATTCCTGCTTGTCACACACAGGCATGCACAGGCAACAAACTACATGCCTGTCCCCAGGAATGGTCTCTATTTTGAAGGGGTGACTTCTGCAGGAGCTCTCTCATGTGCTCTATTTCCATCTCGTTGACTCCCCAGCTCTGTTACACTAGGCATCTTCCCATGAAGGAGGTATGGAGAAACTGGGTTGGCAGAGCGAGGTGTAGAGCTTTGGGGAATTCCCTCCATGACTTGGGGCTGGCCTCAAGAATGCTCTCGCTCCCACAGACAGACCCCTCTGCTCCTCCCAGAGGACTCTCAAAGGTTCAGCCAAAAGCAGCCTGCCCCTCTCAGCCCTTCCTGCACAGGTTTTGCAGGACGGGGAAGACCTTAAGGGCAGCGCATGGAGAAGACAGAGCCCCATGGAGCCCTACAGTGTTGCCAGCAGCACCATGAGAGCTACAGCCCAGCACCTAGCATGCTGCTGGGGTTGGGGCAGATGGGCAGACACTGTGGGGCACAGACACGAGATCTTCAAGGACTACAACTCCCGAACGAGACACGAATGACAAGCTGGACACAGTCCAGGAGCACTTGCTGAGGTCTGAGCAGGCTCTTGGGTCTTTCACTTTCCCCTTCAATCCAGCCCAGACCTGGACTGCTCTCAGCTTATAGAGAAGGGAGGCTCCACACAGATTGCACCCATCTGTGGGGCAATTTTCACCTTCCCCTTGTACCCCTCAGCCCCACTGCGAGCAGATGCATCATCCCTCCTTCTCAGAGCAGGCAGAGCAGTGGTGAGGCCAGGCTGAACCCAATCCCCAAAGGATATTGAACCTGAGCCTCAAGGGATACTGAACCTGAGCCCCAAGGTCACCTCCCAAGACCCACCCCCAGCAGAAAGGTGGTGCGCACCGTTCAGCTTGCAGTGGAAATGGCTGCTGTTGAGAGTGCCAGGGAGCTCAAAGATGGGGTTCCCCCGGTTCAGCCGAGGCTCTTGCTGCCTCCTGTCTAGGCTGCCTGCTAAGCCGGGCAGCCCTGAAACGCGGTCCAGACCCAGGGGGTTCCTCCGCCTGTACTCCCGCCACTTCAGCGCTTGGGGGGAGAGGTGGTTCGCTAGGACGCCACAGGCAGTGAGCACCAGACGGGAGGACACGAGCAGATGGGAGGATATGGAGGGGAAACGGGGAGAGAGAAGATGAGAAAGAGGAAGGACAGAGAAAGAGAGACGGCACATTAGTTAAAAGTCCAGCAGCGTTTCAGGACGTTAGCACACATACATGGAGGGAGGCGGAGGCCACAGCCTGGCAGAGCAGGGCAGGAGCCTGGGTGGCCTCGTGGCTGCAGGCATAGAGGGAGCAGGTTTGGGGTGCAAGCACCTGGCGTGGGGTGCTGTAAGATCAGCAGCCCCACGCTGCCCTCTCCGGAGACAGTGTAGGAGTTGGGACTGGAGGGTCATGCTCTTAGTGTAGGACTTTCTTTTGCAGGCAGAGTGATGGTAGGGGCTGCTGGGTGCTGCAGCATCCAGATGCAATTTTGCCCCAGGCTGTGGCTATAAGAGGGTGGTACTATAGGGAGCAGCCATAGCCGTAGGGAGCTGAGATGTTCCAGACAAGCACATCCTGACGGATGGGTACCTACCATTGAGGGGCCGTATTCCCATGCTGCTCAGGGGACCAGAGCTGCTGGTCTCACTGCCACTTCTCCAGTGGGGATCTGCACGGCCCCCCACTCTGCTCACGGGCACACTGCCCACTGAGAGGGGTGGGAGGGACCCACTGTGGAGTCGGTACTCGGAGAGCAGTGGGCTCGGCTCCAGTGGTGCCTCCTTCTTGGGAATTGGCTTGGGGTTCTCCTTTTGCCTCAGGGCATCAGCTTTGGTGGCTTGGGAGGGCTGCATGGCACTGACAGCAGGGGAAGACCTCGTGGAAAGCAGGCTGGCGGAGATGGGGCAGGACCTGCTCCTGGGGGGCTGGCTCTCTCCAGCCCTCTCCGTTGTGGGCGAGGAAGAGGAGTCCACGCTTTGAAAGAAAGGCACGTTGCATCGCACAGGAGAGTAACTCCCCAGGGGGGATGGCCGGGTTGTCTCAGGGGCAGGCTTCTTAATGCAGCCATCATTGCGGGAGGCAGCTCCATCCACTGAGCGCTGGGTCAGGAGTGTGCTGTGGGCTTGGCTCCCCACCCCCGCCGACTGCTCTGCCGAGGTGGCCGAGGCTGAGGACTGGGAATTGGAGATCTGCTGGCTGGCAGGCCGGTTGCTGGACAAGCTGTAGAGTTGGGAAAGGCTGGAGGCAAAATGGCTGTGCAGAGCACGGGCCTTGGATGGTTTGCTGAAATGGTGCTGGAAAACAAAGGGCTGGATGGGCAGAGTTGTGGGACGCTGGTCCTTGCTGTAGCGTACCACAGGCTTGCTGTCTGTGCCACCACCTTCGGGGAGAGAAAGGGGGACAGAGCGTGAGGATGGGCAGAGGGACAGTCATCATCAGCCTGGCAGATCGCAGACAAAAGGGAATGTGCTCTCAGCTGTGGGAGGAAGAGGATGAGCTAGAGGCCAGTGACACACACGGAGTGGTTCAAGTCTGAACCAGTTACACACATCATGAGCTAGCAGGGTAAAGACGTGGCCCAAATGCAGAGTTTCCAGCTGTTGACAGCTCTCTGGATGTGTAGGGCACTGCACTGGGAGCTTCCCTCTCCTGGTAGGGTCACCAGCTTCCCATCTCTTCCCCATCCCTTGCACCCAGGACAGCACAAGTCATGGCCCCAAGCGCCTGCCCTTGACCTGCCTCCACCCGAGGCAGTACCACAAAGACATGGCCCAGTGCACTGTGGTACAGCAAGATTTCTTATCCTGAAGGACTGTCCCCTCCCACATGTGCTGAGAACTCACCCCGCTGAGCACAAGCATTACAAGGAATAGCACCGCAGCTCTGCATCCCACATCACACTCAGTGCTGCTGGAAAGGCTGCTTGCTTCCCCTTCTCCCTCCCTCCTCTTTCTCCTATAACTGTTCTCCCCCCGAGCACACAGATTCCTTCTTCCTCCTGCCTGTACCAGATCCAAGCAGGACATTCCCAACCAAATCAGGACCACAGCAGAATTAGGAGAGCTTCCATCCCTGGAAAACGCAGGTCTGCTCCATCAAATGACCGACAGGGATGCCCTAAGGGAGTGTGCTGGGCTGATCTCCTATGCGTGCCTGCAGCTCCTGGTGGGGCCACAATATCCCGAGGGACACAGCTGAAGCGTGACACGCTGTGCACACAGTGCACAACACACACAGCACTGGGTGCACACACGGGGCTGACTGGGATCCCTGATCACCAGCCATGCCGCATCGCAGCACAGCGTGGCACCTTCTGCCTTGTCTCCCCCTGACTCCTCCAGCCCACAGCAAATCCTGGGACAAAGGACCCGTCCCAAGCAGAGCCCTGGTGTTACCTGCTGCCTGTGGGGTGTTCCAGGCCTCTTCTGTCCCTATAGCTAGCCTTTAGCAGGGCTTGCTTTCCCTCTAGTCCCTTCTCAGACCCTCTAGGTTTGCATGCTGCTCTCAGCTGGTGCGAGGCAGCTCTGCCTCTATCTCCAGCCACAGGCAGGAGCTTTCCACACAGCACTAATGTCTGCCTTGCTGTCACAGTGCAGAGGAAGGGACCGCAGCAGGGGGTGCAGGAACTGCTGGGATCTATTGTCCTGAGAGCTCCTGTCTGACCCCTCCTCCCCGAGCAGCTCTTGGTCCTTCCAAGCACTCCCTCTGCAAACAAAGAGGGCTGCTCCAATGCTGCCTCCTCCCAGCAGAGGTCTGCCTTCCCTGCCATCCCACACCGAGTGCACCTTCAAGGCTCAATAAACAAACAGGACAATACACAAAAAACCCTTTGCTCCAAAGGCCAAAATCTCTCCCACACCTGCCACAGCAATGAGTGACATGTTCTTCCTATCTCCTGCCAGAAATCTTCAGGGCATTAAACGGAGACAGTCTGGTCCTTGGCATGTTAGGGGCTATCTACCACAGCAGTCTGGTCAGAGCCCCATTTTAGACAGGCTCTTACCTGTGAAGCAGGTACAAGAACTGTCTAGGGCAGACCTAGGTCTCCTGCCATGCTGGAGACGGGGCTGCCACACAGCTTCCTCACCAGGACATGTAACAGCAATATCAAGGCAGAAAGCAACTCATGTATTACAGGCTTTCCTGCAGAGGGAGCTGGGACAATTACCCTCCAGAGGAACCTTTGCTGCAATCCAGTGCAGTGTGGAGGACATGGCCAGGATATTCCAGCAGAGACACGCCGCTCCTCTAATCTCTGGAGGACTCATGCTGTAAGTCCCAGCAGAGACTGTGTGAGCACCCTGACCCTGCATTGAGAGGAGACTGTTGACTATGCCTCCTCCCTCTCCACCTCTGCCCCATGTGGCTTCAAAGAAGAAAGGCTAAAAACTCCTCAATGGTTCCCTTCCCTTTGTCATCTGGGAACACGACTCTGCTGAGCATCTTCAAGTCTCTGTCTTAGGAGCTAAAGGCAGGTGATTCTCATGGACTGGTGGAGTACGTCAATCCTACAAGTTGCACAGACCCTAAGTGCTAATGCCGCATCCTCCCTTACGTGATATGAGAGGTTTGCACAAAACCTCAACAGGCTTTAGAAATACAAGGACAAGACACTGGCACTGATCTGGGTCTGAAATAAGCACAGCAGGGCTTTGTCCCAGGGAGTGGTAGACCAGGAAACAAACTGCACAGGCACTGGTCTCCCATCACCATGCCGGTTCCTCTGCTGCTCCCCTCATGTTCCCAAAAAGCAGCTTTTCCTTTTACTTCTACATTCTGCCTAGTTTGGCTCCTTACCGTCTGCTCGGGCTCTAACATCTCTTTGTCCATGGCCACTGGCAGAGCCACCTGAGAAGCTGGCATCTGCCTCCATCAGCAGGGAGACAGAGGCTTGCTCACCTGCCCCATGCCCCCTGGGGACCTTCTCACTGGAGACCGAGTCTTTGGTGGAACACAAAGCCTGGCTGTCCCCAAAAGCATGATTTAAACAGAAGCCCTCGCAGCTTTGGTTCAGGCCATGGACGAAGGGCATGGGTGGAAGACTCTGGCTGCGGCGAGCTCTTTCTTCAAGGAAGGCTGGGCAATCCCGCTGTGTTTCGGGGATAGGGGAGAACTCCAAGGAGGAATCACCACTGGATCGGAGTGGTGGGGAGGTGCTGTTCTTTTTCCTGCCTTTAGCCAGTTCAGCAAAAGATGTCACTCGCTTTGGGGGGGAACTCTGGATGGGTATTGCTGGACTTTCACTCAGCTTGACCGGACAGCTCACCATGCGCTCCAAGGAGCCCAGTCTGCTGCTGGGACTCCTGTCCAGGTTCTGATCATAGCTCCTGGAGCGCTGCCGGCTTGTATTGAGGTTAGGTGGTGACACATTCACATAGACCTGACCCTCAATCATGTTCTGGGTGGCTTCTCCCTTTGCCTCCTCTTCACTGCACTCCACATTGCTTTCTTCTTGTCTCAGGTCAGGCCTTCTAAAAAGATAGTATTCAGTGGGCTGGGCTGGGCTACCTTTGGTATGGTCTTCCGAGCAGCTAGTTATGGAAGATCCTACTGGGCTGGGGGATGACTGGGAAGACAAGTCACACGTGACTAACTTATAATAATTCTGAGTAGCCACAACGAGCCGTGCTTGGCTCTGGAAGCAGGCAGTGAGGTCTGAGCTCTCCGAAGCGCAAGGCTCACAGTGGAGGTGGTAGGAGTTGCAGTTAGCATCAAGGACAGGTGAGGAGGAGGAGTGTTGACACCCACACACCTTCCCTGAAGTCTCTGGGTGATGCGACTCGCAAGACATCTTGGATTCTGTGGGTGATGAATGCAAATCCAGGTAAAAAGCTCCTGTGTCTGAGTGGCTGCAGAAGGAGGAGTCACAGGACAGGTTGGCTGAATTCAGGTTAGATCGGGAATGGCCATTCATTTTGTTGTAGAGAGCACTGAAGTTCACCAGCACCCCATCGGAGCTGTTGCAGGAGGAGTCACTGACATAGCCCATCTGTTGGTCAATCACTTCAGACTGACTTGATGAACTGTAGCAGCGACAGTGCTGGAGCTCCGAGCTGGAACAGCTGCACGTCCGGCTGTGTAGGGCATCCTGATTCCTCAGTGATTCACCCGTGTTCTGGTTCCACTCCTGGTCACCACCATCAAAGGAGAAGCTGGAGGAGCTGCCGCGATGGCAACTGCATTCATCCAGCTCCATGCGTTCTGAGGCCTGGTGGCACCGGTTTGCATTGTTCCTCTTCTGGACATCGTCACTGCTGATTTTGTCCTCTTGCCCATCCACCACACCGGACCGGCTGGCCATGTTCCAGGATTTCACAATGTGGTTGGAGTCGTGGAGGTGGAAAGGGGGCAAGGCCAGCTCATGCAGATGAAAGGGAGGTTTGCCAGCCACAAGTGAGTTGTGAAGGTGAAAAGATTTTTGACCCAAGTCATCCCCAAAGATGCTGAGGTCTTCACCCTCACTCAGCAGGAAAGGGTTGTGTCGCTTACTGACACTAGGGACAATCAAATCCCTCGCTTTGCCTTCTTTGTTATCTGAGGCCTCTGCTGAGGTTTCAGAGGTCTGGAGAAAGCTGCTGTACACCAAGGAGTCAGTCTGTGAAAGGTCTCTGTCTGGAAGGGCAGAGGTCCGTGTAATGCTGAGCTCTGGCTGGCAGAAGGGGTTGGTCCTTTTGCTCACGGAGCAGCACTGTCTATCAGGGACCTGGCAATGCACCAGGGGAATGTGATGGACAATCAGCGTCTCACCAGTCAGTTTGGGTGGACTATCCATGGTGAGGAATGCTCTTCAGGACATCAGTTAAGTTGGTGCTACCCATGGACAGGTAGGGCTGCACATGAGAGGCAAGGAGGACACTTCTCATGGGGGAGTTCAAATACCTAAAGAGAGACAAAAACACAAAGGAAGTCACCTCTCAGGAAAGGCAGTGACTATTTAAAGCATCCTCGGTTTGAATGAAGACTTCATGTGCTGACAAGGACCAAACAGACTAGTCCTTGTCAGCACAAGGTCCCAAGCACAAGGTCCTGAGCTGCCTTTCTTCAGGGAAAGCATTACAATATAAGACAAACATGTCCCCCTCCCTGTGGACTCCTGAGACAACACTTGTGCTTCCAACTGACCCCTCTCAAACTTATCTAAAGTGAGCTACTGATTTCACTCAAGTAGCCAAAGGGCTGCACAGGCTTTGCGCCAAACGAAGACCTCACTGTGGATGGCACTGCACGCTCACAGAAAAACATGCAGGCAGCACAGGGTCTGAAATGAATTGCTGCACTCTGATGAAAGCAGTCCATCTTCTCGCACTGGATTCAATACCTTTGCCTTGAACTTCAGGTACCTTGAACTTTCCTTTAAGAACTAAACACTGAACAGCACTGCCAGACCTTGCAACGTTAGAGAGACACAAGTCCAGGCTGAGACTGGAAAGCGGGAACAGACTGGAACAGGAAAGCAGCAACACTGGTTCTTCTCCAAAATCCAGGAACCCCCACCAGGTCCTGAGCTCTTTTAATGGTGCCAGGACCTAGTGCTCTCATAGATCCTTCACTTGTTCTGAAAACCCTGGCCCAAACATCCTTGGTCAGCAATCCACGTCCCGTATCTCATCCAGGCATCCTCAGTGCTCACAGCACCCTGACACCACATACTGTGATCCTGCTCCGGACTCCAGGACCCTGGGTCTGCTGCCACCACTGACCTTCTGACTCCAGAAAGTAGCATCCACAGTATCTGTCTTTGCCTACCTTACCCCAGCATTTGTGACTATGGGACAATAAAGAATTTGGAGCAGAGCTGCAAAGGCACATGGGAGCCCAGGAGGGAAATCGAGAAATGTGGGATAAGTGAAGTTAGAACAATAGTGTAAGCAATGAGACAGCTCCACAGGAAGATCAGGAACTTCAGTTCTTTCAGCTTCACGGCACAAGAATAGCAATTAAAAGATGCTAAAAAAAATGATCAAAAGAAGTACTTTCATCCCACGCATAGTAGTGCTTCTCACAGACACAGGATGATGCTGGCAGGAAAAAAAATACAAAGATGGAAATGGACCTAGTGTTTACAGTAAACACCCAATGATGTAAAAGTTAATGCTAACAGCAGTGTTAGCAAACAGACAAGCCTTCTGGTAGACTCTACCGGAGATCATCATGAGACCTACGTGAGGGGCACACTCACCCTCATGTCTGCTTCTGCTGGGATGTTTCAGCCGGGATTAGGCTCTGAAGTAGAGAGGTCACCTGGACCACTTAGACCGCATCCAGCTGGACTATTGTGGGACCCGACCCCCCCCCCAGTCTCCCTAATGCCGGTATCACCCTTCACTCCCCTTTCAGTGACTCCTCTGTCTTACAAGCAGCTCCTGAGTCTGTGCGTAGCACACACACCCCCTGAAAGTGCTCTTCAACAGTTGGGGCAGTATTCATGCCCCATTTTTGACCTTGCACACCACTGACGGTACATGTAGCAGCACGAGCCCCTATTTATCCTGTCTCCCCCCCTCAGCACTATGGGGAAAAAGCTGGTCCCCCAGTGGCTATCTGCCCTTGTTACTGCCTTTGTAGCTGATTTTAACGCTTAGATCATGTCTCCCCATAAGGCCTTGCTATATTTTGAGTGTTGCCACAATGCAACGACTTGAAAAGCATCATTTTGAGGATACAGACCGTGATGACAGCACACTTCACTGCTGAAGCATTGGGTCTCCGCTGCCTCTGGGAAATGGCTGCTTGGAGCTGGCTCCCAGCACCAGCACCTATCTGCTGACAAGCCTTGCTGAGCAACACACACTTCACGTTCATGCAGATGCTGCTGTGGGAGGACAAGGCTTGCACAGGCACACTTTGACATTTGACAGCAAAATGTCAAGAGAGCTGACACACAGCCATTTCCCAGCTGTCTCTCTGGAGCCCTGGCTGCAACATGCAACTCTGCCCAACTATTTGGTTTCAGTGGCAGCACAGGCTCCCTGGGTGGACTGTGATTCATTGGCTGTCACAGATGCTGCGGCAGATGGATGCCCGCTCTGCCTGCACCCACAGCCTGCTCCCAGCACAAGGCTCTGAGGTCCAATACCACAGGCAGCATGCAGCCAGCGCCTGCCGGGAGCCATTCTGACAGCTTCCCTAGGGATATGCGTGACTTTTTTTGTGCCCTAGATACCCCTCTCTCCCTTCGGACACCTCTCCTGGCTTCCTCCTGTCTCAGAGATGCAGGGAGGTTGGCAGTGGCACTGCCAGTGCAGGGATTATTCAGCTTCCAACACCAGAGCATCCCCCCCCAGGCCATATCATCCCTTGGCTCTCCCTCCTGGATTCTGGAAGACTGTAGAAGGATCCTCCCTCTTCTATTCAGGGTCTGGTAGGCTGGGATTGACACTGGAGCATAAACCAGCAAGCAGAGCAGTTTCAGATTCTGCTGGCTTTGATCAGCTCTTTGTAAAGCCCTCACACCTGTCTTGGTTTCAGCTGGGACAGAGTTAATTTTCTTCCTAGTAGCTGGCACAGTGCTGTGTTTTGGATTTAGTATGAGAATAATGTGATAACACACCGATGTTTTAGTTGTTGCTAAGCATTGTTTATACTAAGTCAAGGAATTTTCAGCTTCCCATACTCTGCCAGCGAGGAGGTGCACAAGGAGCTGGGAGGGGGCACAATCAGGACAGCTGACCCAAACTGGCCGAAGGGATATTCCATACCATGTGACGTCATGCTCAGTATATAAGCTGGGGGGAGTTGGCCGGGGGGCAGCGATTGCTGCTCGGGGACTGGCTGGGCATCGGTCGGCGGGTGGTGAGCAGCTGCATCACTTGGTACTTGCTTTGTATATTCTATCATCATCATCATTATTATTACTATTTTCCCTTCCTTTTCTGTCCTATTAAACTGTCTTTATCTCAACCCACGAATTTTACTTTTCTTTTTCTCATTCTCTCCCCCATCCCACTGCGGGGGGGAGTGAGTGAACAGCTGTGTGGTGTTTAGCTGCCTGCCAGGTTAAACCACAACAACATGTCAGCAGGCAGGGCCCGAGGGGGGAGAGGGTGTGAGAGCGGCTGTGTGGTGCTCAGTTGCCGACTGAGGTTAAACCACGACAACACCCCTTTGCAAGGGGAAGTTTCCACTTGTGGAGAAACTGGAAGTGTTCAGTCTGCACCTGAACAATTTTTGCCAGTTCATTCTTTTTATTTATCATTTGCAGTAGCACAAGTCCACAGTGTGATGAATCCTTCTCAATCCTACATATACAACAGCAAACACAGCATACAGCAATGATCCCTGCCCAGGGATCGTGGCAGTGCAAGGCAGGGAGGCACACAGGGAGCACCATGACTCTAGGCACATCAGTACAACAGCCATTTTGACTGCAAATGTCAAAATTCTTTACCTTCTCCATACTGACACCATCTGCTGCTACACAGAAGATATGGGTTGTTTATTCAGTCAGCTCTTTCTTGAGGTGCTAAGGTTACCTGGAGAAGGCGAGGGCCAGACATTTCATTACCTATGGATGCTTCACTCCAGTCAAGCTAACACAGAGCAGATAAGGATGGCTTTTTGTGAGACACCTACGATGTGGTGTGGAATTGCTTATCAATGCTTGTACCTCCATGTATATATACATGGCAAAAACTTGTTAGTTGCAGCAAAGCTCTAGGTAAGTAGCAGCAGAGGAGTGTTGAGCAAAAAAAGGATGGTTCAGCACCGATCTGAGAGCTGCCTGCCAAGCCGTGTCTGCGCTTTAGAAAGGAGGTAGCATGCTGCAGGTAACAAGGGCATGCAGAACCTTGCAGAGCTGAGCCCTTCAGGCTCTGCACCTCATGCCTCGTAGGTCCTTGCTGAGCACTACACAGAGGCCCCAAATCCCTCCTCTGTCCTGCCCTCAAAGACTGAGGACATTGTGCTAATTTAAGGGTGGTCAGTGCAGCTCCATGGCTCCTGGATTAGAGCCGCCTGCCTCTGCCACACTGCTGAGAAGATGCAGAAGCCATCAGAGCTGGCTCCAACTGGCCTGCAAGGCTCTGCTTCACTGGTGCAAACACCATCCTTGCCTCCAAGTGCCGATGCGTTAGGTGTGTCGGTCACATACCTCCAGGCATACCCCGCTATCTGCTACTGCTCTGGCTTTTGGAGTTCCATCGCCGATTGCTTAATGCCCCGCTCTGCTCAGTGCTCTTAGCTGCACACGTGGGGCAACCGGGTCTAACACAGAGCGACACAAGTCTCCTCATAAAATGTAATGCAATACTGGGGGAGGCATGCAGAGACTTAAGAAATTAATGTGATTTAAATGCAAAAAGATTGCACATACAGTACAGAGGATGAACAGACAGGAGGAGCATCATCAGAACTGTCAGCTGGAGGCGATGCTGGCTTTTCGGAGGCTGGCTTTTCTGAAAAGATTACTGTTTCTACAAATCTCAGCCACTTCAACCATGAAATTGAACGCCCAATGGAAACCTTTAACTGTGAGGGTTCTTGCTGCCTCTTTCTGAATGGCTACAGTTTCACTGTCGTCATCATCTTCCTCAGACGGAGCAAGATCCATCATGTCACTCAAGGGTGAAAAATGGAAAAACAGAGTTAAAAACTGGGCATTCAGTTTCATAGATGAACCAGCAAAAATCCTTTTGTATTGGAGCTGCTTGTTCTTTCAGGGTTGTTTCGTATGAATCCGTGACTCCTACAGAGCATTTGCATTAACATGCCTGAAGAAACCACACAGCTCTACAAAACAAGAACCAGCAGAAATGCTGCAAAAAGCAACGGTTTGTGTGAGCTTGCAGACAGGGGCACAATACAGACATCTCCTCTTTGCTCCACAGGGAGAGATATATTCAGTTTACTCCCTGTAAGTCTACCTCCAGGCAGAAGGGCTGGGAGATGAATCCAAACTGAAAGCCACCCTTCAGACAGCATGGGGGATCTCAGGGCTCATTGGTTCCAGCACCAGTTTCCAGGATCCCAGTAACACAGTTTGTCCCTGCTCCAGCTCTGCCACTCCACAAGCTGCCAGAAAGTACTGAATGGTTTTAAAAAAAACTCAACAGGACTTGCCTTTCCAGCAAGATGGAGGGCATTCAGGGAGCAGCATCAGTGAAGAGGATGGGGCGAGGGGCACAGGATGAGTGGCTTGGGGATGGGGCTGAACCATCGGAGTGAGTAAGAAGAGGGTGGAGGTGAGGAAGCCTGTAAGTTGTTGTAGGGTGGGACTAGCGAGTGGCATTTGTTTGGACAACCATTCATTTCTCACCAGCTAATACATCTCTGCCAAATTCACGCCTTCATTAAATGCTTTAGTACATCAGCCAGCATGTTTAATGAAAGAAAAGGTGTAAAAGGAAATACTAGTTGCTTGACTCATCCTAAAACTCCAGCTCTCCTTCCCTGCCTCAGGGAAGGGAAGCATAGTGAGGGTGGTCTGCCTGGTCCCAGGGTGAACATACCCCAGTGTTTAAAGGGGGCTGCAGCAAGATAGAAAGACTAAATACTTCCAAAATTTCTGCCACAGCTCAGGCTAGTTCCTCTTGTGGTCCTGAGCAAACAGTGATTCCTGAAAAAACCACTTCCCTTTTCTTTCCACAATGAGGTGCTGCCTGGGCTAGGGCTTTTTCCAGTGGTTTCCAGGACAGCCTGACTAAGCCCACGATTAACGTATCATTACATCCCAGAACTATATAGGATTATGATGTGTTCAAAATGGAAACAGCAGCACGTGACGATCAGTCGCAGCCCTTGCACGCAGGACAGCAAGGAGCTGTGCGGGTCAGGGGTGAGGGGCTTGCCAGCAGAGATGAGAGGGGGAG